AAACATTCCCATTGAAAGGAGAAGAGCCCTTCCTATGCACCCAAGCGGCCGGGGGAAGCCTTACGCACTTCGCGCACGCAGGCACCGACTATGCTCTCGATTTCAGGTGTGAGAGAGGTGAGATATAGTCCAATACGAATCCGTCTCATTCACGTCGAGTAGGTACACCGGTGCGATCAGTGTGCGATGGCCGTGTGATTGATGTGCGGAGCACCAACACGTGTGGAGGCATCGACGTCGATAACTTATACAAATGGAATTCGATCACCATTCGATCCTCCAACAAGAGGTAGGCTCCTTCTACACTGTTCTTCTGGGTCAGCAGCTAATGTGTCTCCCTGTGTGTGAGTATAGATCTGCTACTTGCACGTGTAGTGAACGAGTACTGCATCTCATTAGATTATAGTAGCAATGTGATTCCACTTACCGCAGTGAGAGTTCGCAACTACATAACAGCAGTTCCACTTCTCAGCCTATGTTTCGACTATGTTCACCTATCACCCGATGGGATCACTGTTGAAGTCGACGACTTGGTCGTAGAGGGTCAAATCATCGCTAAGTCAGGGGATGTGGGATTCACACCAGGTGAGAAGGCTCTAACACGCCCCGTAATAGAGATGAATCGGTCAAGAGAATTCCAACTCCAATACTCCTGTTGCTAGTGAAGACCGTAAACTCATAACTGGCGTAGTATTATTATGCTAGTGTGTCTGAGTGTCTGCCTATTCTAATACTGTTGGCGATAATATAGGCTTCTCTCTCCTGAATGTTGTTATGTTTCCTCAGAGCCCCATCTGCATTTCCAATGTCTCGAGTCATCAGCTGCAGATGCCTGCTCCATACCCCTCAAGTTCCGTTTTGGTGCCGAGTTGACAGCTGTCAGTGTAGAGGCAGGGAAATACTATCCTCCTCCGAAGACTGCCTAGCTTGGTTGATGATGATGTTTCGGTCGTAGTTTGATCGTGTTCAGTGACCTCTACTCGCCGTTTCGAGTCGATGGAACATTGCTCGTATCAATATAGGTTATGATCGATTTGTCTAGTTTGTCAATTACTGGTCGGTTTCACGAGTGTTA